AGCATGAGGGTTGGACTAGATGACCCACAGAGGTCCCTTCCAACCCCTACTATTCTGTGATTCTGTGTGCCTAAAGGCAAGCAGATTTAGGAAGGGAGGTGTTACAGCTCTCTAACTTTGAGCTTCTGGTTGCTTGTTATGGGTTAGCTCACATGATGCTTATAAATTCTTCTTTAATTGTGGTGGTGTATGTAGTACTTGCGCTTTTGTGAATTATTATAAATAATATTTAAGGCTATTTTAAATATAGGTGTTACTTAATGGCACTTGTTTTGAAATGGACATTCCTGTTGACTTGCATTCAGTGGTAGTTCATCTGCAGTCCCTCGTGCTCCTGATGCCTGCTGCTGAAAACTGAGGCTTCTGATGCTTACAGCTGTAATGAAAGCTTCAATTATAAATCTTAACGTAGAAGGAAATCCCTGGTAAAATATTTAATTAAAATTGCTCGTTTCAGTTTTTAACTATGAAAAAAAATTTTCATGTCTGTCTTCTGGATACTTCAGAAGAGCTAGAAGATGATGTTATTTTAACTTTTAAATAACAAGCTTAATCTTGAAAGGAGACTTTGCAAAGAATGCTTGCTCTGCAGTCTTTCTCCCCGCAGAATATTGGCAATGTTGATTTTCTTAGTGGTGTTCCAAAATGAGGCAGATCCTAACGCGTCACTGCTGCAATAAATAAATGTGTGCTGGAGAAGTTTTGGATTCATGTATGCAGAGACTTGGTTTTAATTTAATTAAAATCGAACACCGCTCCCGTATAATCTGATTCATTCTAACAGTGTGATCTGTCTTAGCCAAGACAGCTCTCGTGCTCTGCCCCAGTACATTTTTGGAAGGGATTTGTGAGTAGGTGTTGGGGTTGGTTTTCCTGTGTGTGTGTGTCCTGAGGCGAACGGGACTCCCGTTTTCAGGACGGACTGGAATTATTGCAAAAATCCTGACCTAAATATCGAACTCGGTGACATACTTACTCCAAATAGGTCGCTTTTAGATATGCTGATTTAGCCTCAAACGGAATATTTTTAAAAGCTGGAAGTGTAGCTTGTTCGTTAATATTGATAGTTGTGTACCGCAGTGCATTTCTTTCCTTTTACTTTCCAAGCACTGGAGTCCTAATTAAGGAAGCTCAGAAGGAAAACAACAACAACAAATTTGGTCCTTTGTGATCTAATATGTTCGTTCTGTTGCCAAATGTGGAAAAATAAGCTTATGCAACTGGGAGGGGGAAGAAAGGGACGACTTCATGGCTGTAAAGAGCGTTGTCTGCATAAAGCTGGCGGCGTGGTTCTGGAACCCGCACGATTACGTGCAGAGCGATTCTGATCTGCCACTGTTGACTGCTTGAGTGTCAAATGCAGAAGGACAGGCGAAAAACTCGCAGTTACCAGCACAGAGGACAGGATGAGGGCTTTCCTCGCTTGCCACTTCCAAAACCTGGAAAGCTACACCCGTAATGTAGCAGGAGAGAGAGAAGTTTTACGCAGAAGGTGCTACTAAGTGGTGGAACTTGCTGTCGTGATGCTTATGTTTGGGGTGCGGTGGTGAACTCCTGCTCTTTGACACTTCCAACAGCTAAACTTAATGTTATTCAACATGTGAAATTGCTGTGTGAGCATTGACTACTGCACAACTCATGACATGGATGGTTTGGCTGGAGTAAAAAGCATTATCACTTGTCCAAATTCCGAGGCGTGCAATTAAAATGGGACATCAACGCCTTCCTTAGGAATTCAGTGTTGCAGAGCTTAAGCAGGGAAAGTGCTGCGGAATTTGATCTTCGTGGAAGTA